ATAATAATTAAATTAATTTTGAATACATTTTATTCATACGAAATAAATGTAGAGTATATTGGTATAAACAACAGACATCGTAAAATTAAAATATCAGGTCTGTGTAACCGAATAAAATATAATATCGAATATTTTAATTATATTCATAAATTTTAATTATTTGTATTTATATTTAATAAACATATTTATTTTTTAATCTACTAATCTGCGTGTGTTAAAAAAATATCAAATTAGTCATGATTTGCTCGTGAATTTGAATAACAAACATATTAAAGTTATTTTCTGATAATTGAAAGAAATATCATGTATATAAACTATAGATTACAATTGCAATTTTTATAATTCAAAATTGAAAAATAGAAATTTATTACAAGCTGTTTTTCTTCATTTTACTTATAATTGTAAAAAATGGATATAATTCTGTATATGATATTAATTTTTCAATATTTTTTATTCATCATACAAGGTACACCAGACATTGAATATTTATATATCTAAGGAAATGGACTAATTAAATCGTAAAATTTTATTTTATGCAGCATCAGATTTCTCGATACCTGATACTATACAATTTGTTGGATATCCGTAAGTTATGCTTATATAACAATATATTAAATAATTGTTAAAATAATTTCTTATATTTCTACACTTTATATTCTGAAATGAAAATTTTCTTATTGCATCATATGTATTGCAATCTTTATTAAAGCTTTCCATACATTATAAAGAATTAGAAATGTTAATTTAACATGTTATAACATTTTTTAATAAACGATCTACTTTATTTTAACCATGTGATAAAATAAATTATCATATAGCGTTTCATATTGGACTCGTAGAGTCATATATGTATTTATAATAAAAACTGATATTATGTATTATGTAATATAAATCTATGTATAAAGACATACAACATTCTTTCCAATTATAGAAATTATTCGAGGATAATGGAGGAAGAACTGTGAGGCATTTTTTAATATGAAGTTACCTTTCAAACTAATAAAATATATTTATCCTACTTGTATTATTCACTGTGTATAATGTTAAATATACTTTATATATTTAAAATATTCTACTATAATATACATTTGCTTGCTTCAATTATTTGAATAGTAATACTTCTTATTAATTATAGCAATATCGATATAAATAAAATATACTTTTATTAATTTCATAATATATATTGTAGGAAAAAATTAAATCAAATTTTATTTTTAACTATATGGTATTTAAATATAGAACACTCTATACCTGTTTATATAATGTTCCAATATAATTGTATAAAAAGATTGTTTACTCACTTTATAAAATTATTAAAGTAACTATTAATACATATGTTTATATAGTTAAGCGGCTTGTTAAATTTATAATGTTTAAACAAATTTTAAACATTGAAATAAATTTCTTTGAAAAACTAAACGATTTCTTGCTCAAAATGCTTTTCTTGTTAAAAATGTTTTCAGTTTTTATTAAGTTTTATTAAGTTATTTATTTATTTATTAAATGAAACTCTTCTCTTCTTTAATCCGATGGGCAAACATCAGTTGGCCTCCTCCTTGTTTTTATTACAAGAATCCAATCTTATACTATTTATGATACAAAATAATACAATCTTATAATCCAAAATTATACTTCCTTGCTAATTACTTGATATCTAGCTAAGAAACTTTATCTTCTACTTATTCCGTATATTTTATTTCTTTAATTCTGCTAAAAATTACGTGACTTCAACTTTATTTGTGATATCCGATAACATTTACTTTTGATCTCAATTGAACGAACTTAATAAAAGCTTCCGAAATATTGAAAAAATTATACGTTCTAATTCTTTCCTAATAAAACACAACTAAATTAAATAAATTCAAACTGCAAAATAATAACAATGCTTAATTATATACTACTATTGTTTTCAATGACTTCTTTAATATACATTTTTATAGTACATTATATCAATATTTCATCGAAAATGCAGATTCAAACTAAAATTATTCAAACGTTATCAATTGCTTTTAGAGAAACTTACGTATCTTTGTGCCATTATAATTTACAATGATTTATATATATATATAAATAATCGATTGATTTTACTATTAACAAACATTAAAATACTGCTTTAGTATTTGAAAAAATTTATAAAAATGTGCGTTATGAATAATATATTATAAACGTTACATTTAATTGAAATAAAAATTATGCTCCTAAATAATGTAAAGATTTCAATTGGTTTTTATAAATTATAGTAAAATTTTTATTAAACAATGTTCTATTAAACAATATTTATCCTTAAAAAGTACATTAACAAACCACAATATGTACGAATTTATATTATATATATTCATCAATTAATTTTTCCAAACCATATCATATATATTTAAAAATTATTCACATCGTCTATTTAAGGAACAAAATGAAATAATTAGTTGCAAAATCATTTTAAATAAATTCCATAGCCATATAAATAACTTCATAATTTCAACTGAATATATATAAAACTCATTAATAAGGATTTTAATATTTTCTGGATAGTTACTTACATATATATTTGACTGCATGACTGTAAACCAATGAATATTTTTGTATAAATCATAGGATAATTTATGTTGTTATAAATTTTTAATATTATGCTTTTATAAGAGTTAAATAATTAAACAGAATATAAATTTATATTTTCTATTTTCCTATCAATAAATACATAAAATAAAATCGGGAAATTTATATTTATAATAAAATTTCATATTTATTATTGGATCTAAATATTATATAAGAGCTTATATTATATAATATAAATAGATCATAAATATATAATTAATCTACATTATATACTAAGATGTACACTCACTTAAATCGTTTAGGATTATAGGTAAAATGAAAAATCTTATATTTTAGTAAATCTTTATTACATCTATAATGTAATTCAAATCTCATTCAAACGGTTGCATTGACAGTTTAATATTTTACTTCATTATTTAAAATTAATAATTCATATTTCATTTTCACACATCTTACAATTATTATTATTGAAAATAAAATATTTATATTTTCGATATCATAAAAATCATTCATATAATATATGTCGTTTAAATAATCTCATTAATCTATTCAACTTATCTTAACATTGTATTCTCAAACTATATTATATTATTATCTGTATCCCATATTCTGGTTAAACTATTAATATTAAACAGCTAAAAAATAAACAATAGTAATTCGTAAATCATCGTATCAGAAAAATTTACGCTTATATATATATATTTTTTTTTATCATCTCATTTCGATTGAGATATTTTTTAATAAATAAAAATACACTCTCACATATATATTTATTTATTTATTTATTTATTTATTTATTTATTTATTTATTTATTTGTCATGACACAAATGTTCTTTCTATCCTTCTTATTTTTCATTGTCAAAACATTATTAAGCGAATGAAAGATAAATTGCCACCAAATGAAAACCTGGAAATTTCATGAACTGACCGAATATACGTACGCCATTGTAATGTATTATTATCATCATTATTATGATTATGAATTACCCTTGTCAGATTACTACATATTTATAATATCTTGAAATATGTAAGCTTCAAAAATTGACCCACTCTAATTAGCCTATCTAAACTTTTAGTTTCGATTCAATAACAATTATTAATCCAGAAACTTTAATTTTTGCTTCAATTACCAGCAATCTTCATTAATTCTCAGTAACTAATACAATAATCATTTACAAACATTCTTACCCAAAATGGTAGAGTATCTCTAATTAGTATTTTTAATTTACCTTATTGAATGCAAATATCACATTATTAACATCTTCTATTATTACTTCTTTTCCGTTGATCGTTGAAAAAAATTTCTTTATCATGTAATCAATTATTGTGAGTTTGATTAAATATAATCGTCTAGTTTGTTTCACTGTTTTCTATGTTATTATACATCTCTCCGAAATTTAAATCAATAATTTATTATTATATACATATTCATATATACATATATTATATAATAATTATAGACTTGCTTATAGTAACTTTCCAATACAGTAAAACAAAATTTTATATTCAACAATTGATTTCCTCTAGTGTAAAGCGATGCTCCATTTTTAGTTCATTATTATTTAATCTATTGTTCTCTGCATTACTCGATAGTAATTTTTTGTAAACTTCAATAATTATTAAAAAAAATTACAAAATATTATATTCGGTCTAATATTAAAAATGTAATTATCCTGTTAAAAAATATTGTATAATTGTATAATATATAATTTACGAATAATTTCTTTATCTCTAAAAGTTAATTTTAAAGAATAAATTAAGAATAATAAGCATAAATTGTGGTTTCAAGCATTACAACGGTTTTTTTAGTTTTCTTATTGTTTATTAAATTTTCTGACATTTATTGTAAAATAAACATCAAAATTTTTTTTATTATAGATTCATGTATAAAATTATTTTTAAAGTTTTAAATTAAAAATACATTTTTAATTCAAAATTTTCAAAATTTCCATATAGTTTATAATTAATGTAAAACACGGTTTTTAAATATATATATATATATATATATATATATATATATATATATATATATCTATGATAATTGATCTATTAAAATGTATAAAATAATTGCTATATAAATTTTTAATCTAATAAATTTTTATAAATAATATTCTAAAATATCCTGATCATTTGCACATTTGATAGAAAAATAGCTTAAAAATAATTATACATATATTTATTTATACTAGAATCTTAGGAATTCAATAGAATTTACAGAATTTTATATATTTATCTATGCATTAATAGCATATATATTATTACTACATAAATTGTAATCGAACAATTAAACATAACCGATAAATGTGTTTAAATAACAGAACTATTAAAATATATTTACCAAGACTTAAAATGTACTTCGTGAATATAAAAATATCTCCCCCCGGTATTTTATATATCAATTTTAAGTATAAAAAGTGCACTGAAGCTCAAATCCAAATTTAGGAGAATTACTTTTACCTTAAGTGATTATCGAATTATAAGTCAAATTTTACAAAATGAAATTCTTAATGTCCGTTGTACTAATTGCTGCATACTTAGTATTCATAGTCCAAGGTATATAAATAATTAAAATTAATCAATTAATACGTACGTTTTCATCTAACAAATTATTAATCTCTAGCACGCAGTCCTGCTGGCGGTAAGTTTTTCCGTAATATATATATATATATATATATATATATATATATATATATATATATCATACAATATAATAAACAATATGAAATATTCATATAATTAAAAGAAGGACATACATTATTTCTTTTTCAAAAGTATTTTTAATTTACTAGACCTTTAATTATTTAAAATCTGTACATTGAAATAGAACGCAATGATATTAATTAATTATTATTCATAAAATTTTTATTGATAAAATCTATTTTTAATTTTTTCAAATATAAATTAGTATTTTAGTTAAAATTAGTTTCTTTTTAAGTTAGTATTAATTATGACTATAAATATATACCCATAATTATATATAATTTAATGAAAATTAGTAATTAGGCATTTTACTTTGTAAACAAAACAATTGTATATTTCTACTTTTTCTACATCAAATAAAGTACTCTGATTAATAAACTTTGTAATTCTATTTTCCATAATTCTAACTATAAAGATGTACTTTGCATTATTCATTTAATTTTCTTTTAATGTATACAAGCACAAATCAATAATGGAGATATATACGCATACTCATTATATTTATAATTTTAACAATAGACGTATTAATTTAATCTTCATTAAACTTTTGTACACAGGTCATGGAAATCCAATAGGTATGTTTTCTATATAACTGTGATTAATCTTTTCAGTTATATACATAATTATATTATTTTATATATCAGAAAGTATTTGATACAGTTGCTATTTGTTATAGGTTTTTGTTTATATATTTTACATATTTTTACTATATTTTTTTTAATATATTTTACACTTTTGACTAAAATAAATTTCTTTTTTTATATAAACATTTTTATATTAGCAAAAACTAAAAAAAAAATAAAAATACTTTTACTGTATCACTAAGACTTTTATAATTTGTTAAAATTTTCAAAAATTTACTGATTTTTTTTTTTTTTTTATAGGTGGTAGGAAGTAATGCAATACCGTAAGTGATTATATAATAATTCAATTTGATCTTATATTTATTTAATTGAATATCAATTTCTTCTAATAAAATTATGTCACGCAAAAATCTTTCATATATAAATTAATATCGTATATACTAAATATATATTAATGTATTTTTAGAAAATGAAATTTCTACTTATATAAAATATTATAGATACAAATATATTATAAAAAATGAAGTATTCTCGTATTATTATCAAATAGTTAAAATGCAATTTTAAAAATATTATATTTCTTGATATTCCAATAAATTAATGTTTATATATAATTGATTATTTTAAATATGATTCTCCTAATATGAAACTTTTTTACAATTTATAATAATATGTTTTTTACAATTAAATATAAACATTTAATGGTATTAACCAATACAAGTATTAAATTTAGTAAATAACATTAATTATCTTTGAATCTATGTATAGGCCATTATAGTATCAGTATAAATTTTCATTTTAATACAATTAATATTTTATATTATACTAAAATAAATAAATTCAATTTTTTAGATCTCAAGCACTATGATTACATTAATAATTACCTCGCATCTCCGATAATTGTAAGTACATTATTTACAAGATAAAGATTTTATAATCTTACCACGTAAATGTTATAATGTAATTATGGTAGTTGTAATAAAATTTGAAAATAATATTTTTTTACAGGTATAGGTGACTTTTATCTTATAAAGAGAATATATATTATATTGAATTCATATATGAGGAAATAAATATTAATGAATTGAAATTAATGATTTGTTTTTAAATTCTTTTTTTCCAAACATATTTCACTTATCTTTATTTTCACCTATATTTTATTAACTAAACATTGCCAATATTCCCTTTTGTTAGGTAATTATTTAAAAAAAAAATATTATAAAATATTGTTAATAAAATATTAAATTCGTTTCAATGTTTATTCATGATAACTGCCATAGCTAGATAAGATCAGTGTTATCGTGTTTATAATTATGAAATTTTAAATATTGTTTAAGTAAAATATTATCCAATCAATAAACAAATTAATATAAAATCTGATTATGAAGTTATTACCGTAGTAATAGCATATAAAAAACACTTTAAACCTTTAACTTTCTTATTAATCTTTAAAACAATTTTGTATTCGTCAAACAAAAATTTGTATACACATTTAAAATATTTATTATTTAAGGATTATAGATAAATGGCTAATAAGACATATTCGTATTTTTTATTATATTACAATTATTATTTCTCCCGCTGCCTATAATAATGGAAGTTCTCGAAAATTTATCCTATTATCCTATTAGTCTTGAAAAGTCTTGCCATTTTGGTTTTCTTTGTCTCTTGGCGGCATGAAATGAAATAAAAAAAATATATATATATAAGTATGCATAATCGTCATAACCTACATAGTTGCAATATCTGTTATTGTATGAATAATAATATGATCATTAATAATATACTATTATAGATGATCCTGCAAACTCTACAGAACAAATTATCATATTTTATGATTGTAATAAGATGATTTTATTCGTACCTGATTGTACAAACAGCCACGCACATATCAGTATGTGTAAAATACTAATTAAAATTTATTCATATCCCAGATTGATATTTCTGTTTTCATCTACGTCAAATATCACATCTGTTTAGAAAATTATAAAGTAAATTTTAATAAAATTCTTATGAAATAAATGTAAATAATGAATTAAAAATATTAAAAATATCAAAAATAATATCAAATGTAAAATTCATATTATAGAAATCTTTATTTTATAATTAAATGTAATGGATCGTACAATATACTTCATTTATTATCCATTGAAATAAAATAAAATCAATAATTTATATGCATCTACTAAATATTCACAATTCTTATATAAAAGATTTGCTAGAAGTAAGATAATAATTGGAAAAGTGCAATAAGAAATACTGAAATAGGGATCGTTGATTACAATAACAGATCAAACTGTAATCTTTTGTGAGGTATTTAAGGGAGATTCATTTTTCAAAATAATAAATGCAAATTCAAAATTAAGAACATAAATTTATGTAATATCCATTTATTGAATAGAATTGTTGAAACTGCAGTCGAAACATTTTTTCTCTACGTGTATCATTCTTGTAGAAGAAAAGACTATGTAAAGAAAAGACTGTGTAGGAACGATGAAGAAACGTATAAATATCAATTTATAAAAAAATTATTTCCTCTCTAATAATCTGAACTATTGGTCACCTAATAAATACGAAAATTTATCTAAAAAATTTAAATATGTAATTTGACTAGCAAAACCATAGAAAGCATCATATACTAATAAAAAATACACGCTTATATATTGCAATAGTGAATTACAAATTAACTGTTTCAATTGTAAAATAAATAAAAATTGTGGATTACTAAGCTGAAAAAATGAATATATAAAAACAAGGATTTAATTTTATTTGAAAATTGTGTAGATTAATAATCCAATATATTATTTACAAAATTACTATAAATTTCTTATAAATATAGTCTAATTTTAATAATTGTATTTAACAATTAGCATATTATATTCTATATTCAATATTTAGATGTATATTTCATAGAAAATACAGTTTTTGCCGTATTTAATACAATAATATCGGAATCACAGTCCATAATATCAACTTTCATTATACATATTGGTAAAAGTAGAATTTAATAAACGAGAATGAAATTCTAAAAATCCATATTTATTGTTTTAATATGTTCTTCTTTCTCGTGAAAAGATTATTCATTGACACGAGAAAATCTAAATTTTATATATTAAATTTGCATTCAATATTAATTCTGTTTAACCACTTAAAACCAAACAACTAGAAAAATATAATCATATTTATATTTCGACGTACATTATATATCGACTAAATTATTAATATTCAATTATTAAATATATTTAATTAAATTATAGAAGAAGAAATAATTCTAATTCATATATTATAACACTATATTATGTATATATCCATATTGTTTTATCGTATTGAATTTTTTATATAATTATGGAAGTATTATTCTGATTAGCGGTATTTGAGACTTTTTAAATGTTTTAATAAATGTAAAAAATTTATTTTTTTTTCATAAAAATACATGTGAGCACTACAATATTTTATCAGATTTATTATTAAAAGCATAAGATATTATTGTATTTGTGAGAAATAAATGAATTTATAAAATGTATTCTCTGTTAATCGTTTTTTTTTTTTTAAATGGTATATTTAATCTATTATAAAAATAAAATAATATGAAATTGACTATAAATTTTTAAAGCACGTGTATAATTGTAGTCACTTAAATAAAAAAAAAAAGTACAATAAACGCAGTGAAATCGATTATATTATGTAGAAATATTATCATCATAGACGGAAAACTACAACTGAAATGACAAAAAGATTTTGAAGGAATTTAAAGCGACTTCATATATCTTGTATATAATTTATAATAATAGATTCATGATGAAATATCAAAATACGTAATAGTTTTTTTAACAATATAATGATTTCTATAAATAATGTTATTCTAATAAGCAATGATGTAGATATATATATATATATATATATATATATATATATATATATATATGCATAACGATTTCATCAAATATTTTAATCACATATTTTAAGCTTAAGTTCAACAATAGTTTAATTTATAAAATTTGTGTATTATAAGCTTGCCGTTGCAAATAAGCATTCTTAAAGTATAAATTACAATGTATAACTATGTACCTTAAGAATATACTAAATAATAATTGAATGAAAAATGTGTAACAACGTATTTATATCTTTTAAATAAATTTGTAATTCATTTCAAGATCTTAGAATTGACTCGTTGACTTTACAAAAGCTTTTAAACTGTACATAAATACGTTCGCCTTTATAGGCTTTATGTGAATTTTAAATTGCAATTTTATTTTCAAAATATTTCATGACATCTGTATACACAACATATTTTCATGAAAAACCAAGCGAAACGCTTTATAAACTCAAAATCTCACTGATTCATCGACCGCGAGAAAAGATATAACTCTCATCTCAACCTCATAATCATTGTACGGAAAATAAGTACGCTGTGTTAGCCCATGGGAGCGTATGTATGTAACTCACGCACTCAACCTTCAAGCAGTTGTAAGTAAAAGCGAGAATGAAAACTGATAAAATGTATTTCTTTCTCCGTTTTCGTTATTGTATTTTCTTTGAATTACGTTCTCCGCTGAGCAGCATTCGCTCATTCGTTCATACGGCTTACGTTCTAAGGCAAGTTGACGTTAACATAGATTGATGAATCCATCATTCTTTCTCCTTTCTTGCTGGTAGCTAAAAGCAAATATAGAAAATGAACTGGTAACTGAAGCTTCACAATTCTCCCTATTTTATCTCATTTTCGTTACACTTGTTATCCACTCTTGTATAAACATCTTTGATTTTTATTTTAGCTCTAAGAAAATCGTGGCAATTGTTTTCTATCTCTTACTCTCATAATCTATCATAAAATGTAATTATTAAAAAGATTATCATAAAACTTTATTATTTAAATACCTTCGAATGAAATGTTTTGTAAGTAATTGATAACATCGATAACAGACACATTAAGGCTAAGATCCGCAGCCAATAGTTTGGTAAGAATTTTATCTCATTTAATAATAAAAATATT